AGTTCAATATACATATTTCCAAACTAAAGAGGAGGAAAATGCAGAAGAAGGCACAAAAGTGCATCATTGTTGGGTACTAACATTTGCTTAGATATTCAACCGCGTGAAATAAAAAAAAAATTAAAAGTCGCTCTGTACAACTTGTTCATTCAGCATCAAAGGGAAATTAGGCGTAATCGGCAATCGACCAAAACACGGCCGTTTTGTCCAGCTGAACTGTAAACCTATTCACTCAATGAAAGCGTGATAGTAAATGCAATTTATACATTACAGATTTACCATAAATACATGGGTGATCAACACAAACGCCACGTGAAGCGGAGTCATTCAGTCATCGGGGAAGAATTCGATAACGCGAAAGTATGGATAGAAATGAACGAGAACGGGCTACACCGACGCCTGTTTTGCCCTACACGACTGGATAAGACTGGTAGCAGAAAAAATAAAACTTTTCAATCGTGGAAATACTTAGGGCACTAAAACATGCACGCGGGTTATCCCTTTTAAACTGTATGGTCTGACTTAGTGCAGAATAATTTAAACTTTGATTGGAACAAAACCAACATCTGTGGAAGATAAGTCTCCTTTCGACCTACGGTTTGGAACGACGCTGCAACTAAAACATTTGAAAACCGTCAGTTCAATATGCATATTTCCAAACTAAAAAGGAGGAAAATGCAGAAGAAGGCACAAAAATGCATCATTGTTGGGCACTAACTTTTTCTCGGGAATAAATCCGCGGGTTATCCAAAGAAAATTTTAAGTAACACGGTACAACTTGTTCATTCAGCGTCAAAGGGAAATTAGGCGTAATCGGCAATCGACCAAAACACAGCAGTTTCGTCTAGCTGAACTGTAAACCTATTCAACCCAAGGAAAGCGTTATAGTAAATGCAGTTGACATGTAATATGTAAGATTTACCATGAATACATGGGTGATCTCAAGACAAACGCCACATGAAGCGAGTCATTGAGTCATATTTAACGCGAAAGTATGCATAGAAATGAACAAGAACAGACTACACCGACGCCTGTTTTGCCCTACACGACTGGATAAGACTGGTAGCAGAGGGAATAAAACTGTACAATCTAGAAAATACTTAGGGCAATAATACAGAGCGTCTCAAAAGAAAGTTCACATTTGTTTTGGTCATTGCGTGAACGCAACTATTCAGATGGACGCAGGAAGTGTGACAATCGGTAGTCTGGCTCTTGGGAATTTAATCGCTATGGAGCGAATTTTGCGAACGGATTGCTGCAGCGATTTAACAACACACTGTTCAGTTCAGACTACATTTTAAAATCTTACTCTCTTCGGCGATCATAGTACAAATCGAAAACGAAAATGGACTTATGACAGTAAGAGAATCTTCAGTAAAGCAACAAGTAGATACGTATAACTCGGTCTATGTATATAACCTCACACAGTTTAGAGAGTTATATACAGAGGATAGAAATATATACTTAAATTTAAGTAGACTAGAGGATAATCATCACTACAGAACTAACACATAAGGTTATGCGTAAAATTTTCT